ACGACACACGCAGACCACCTGGTTTCTCAGCATAAATTAAGCCCTGATTATCTGAGGGAACCACAGACTATCCAGGCTTTGAAAGAGCATTACGTCACAGTCAGTTGCTCTCATTGGTCAGAGCGTTGGCCAATAGGCAAAGACACGTCTCATTCATCGGGGCCAGACTAAATTACGCATCTAATCTCACATTTAGTCTGGTTTATCAGGCTACTGAATTCATTAAATCAGCTGACCGCACTTTTCCTTTAACACAATCTTTCCAAGATGGTCGCCATGGTTGTTTTTTTTCTTCCTGTTTCTGGAAGACGCAGAGTAGTGACCTTTGTCGGGTGTTAATGGCGTTCAGGTGGGATGAATGCGACCTGGACGTTCAGACACAGGTCTAATTTAAGATCTCAGATTCGTATCAGATTCAGGACCACAGAGCCAAGTATTCTGGATCGCAGTGGAACAAATCAGATCTGCGTTGTTCAGACCAATTATTTAGAGATCAGATCCACGTCTCATATTTTTGTCACTTCAGGCTGCTGTGTGAACGTAGCCTTAGTTCCCAGAACCTGAGAACATCCTGGAACTTCCCCAGTGAAACCTGTGAACCCAACAGAACAGCCCAGAACCCCACCTGGGTCGGCGCTGTCGGTACGCTCGTTCTCCAGGGCCGCTGGCGCCGTTCCGGATGTCGTAACCGTAGATGGCGATGAGCTCCTCGCGGCTCTTCGGCGCTTGCTCCTCCTCCCTGAACCTGTCGTGCTCCCAGCGGCCCTCGTCTTTCCACAGCTTCCGGTTCCGACCTTTGGGCCTGAGGGAGAGCGGTACCAGTTAGACGGTGCGGACTGGCGACGGCGCGGCTGAATCGGAACCGGCGGCTCACCGCTCCTCCTCCTGAGTCTGCCCGCGGACGTCGTGCTCGAAGAACAGACCCTTCCTGGGAATGTAAGCCGGGTTCTTCCGGTCCTCGTCGTCATCCAGCTGCTGACCCGGTTTCCCCCCCGCCTTGGTTTCTGGGTCATCGGTCGACTCCTGCAGAAAAAACAATCATGGATAGAAACACAGACTCAGTCCAGCTTAGCTCCAGAACCAGACCCGGTTCTGGTCCAGACTTATGTTCATTTATAGAAAGTTCTTTTCTGCGGTTCTTCCAGGTACCGAGCAGCATGAATCGACACAAGAAAGAACCGGTCTGAAGCGGAACCTTCTAGAAAAACTGGATCCAATCACATTCCTTAGATTTCTGTAGAACCTGTGACTAGAAGAAGGTTCTGGTGGTTCTGTCGGGTCCCACCTGTCCGTCTCCGCTCTGCCGCTCTCCTGCCAGGTTCCCTTTCTCCTCAGCTTTACTCTCCTCCTCCCTGACGCCTCCTGCTTCCTCCTCCTCCTCCTCCCCCTTTCCCTCTTCCTCGTCTCCTTCATCCTGGGTCGGGGCGGCGGCGGCGGGTTTGGGTTCGCCGGCTGCAGCCGGAGCCTCTTCCTCACTGAAGCCCTCCTCTTCCTCTTCCCCTCCCTGACAGGAAAAACGGATCAGAATCATCTCCGGCGCCAAAGCCCTCCAGAACCGACCGATTGGATCAGAAGGGTTTACCTCGGAGTGGGAGCCGTTCTCCTCTGGGTCGGCGCTGTCGTAGTCGGACAGGACGGCTGGAGAGAAACAGAACCAGGAGTCATTAGAACCCAGAGAACCACCGAGCCCCACCAGAACTCAGAACAGGACGGCTGTTGGGTCTTACCTTCTCCGGCGCCGTCCTCGCTCTCCTGTGAAGAAAAACAGAATTAGAACCGGAACGTGAAGCGGCGAGTCTGACTGCATCCAACGGGTCAGAAGGGAAAGGTTCTAACGGCTCTGACCCAGTCCAGGCCCGGGTCTGACTGGAGAACCCACCCAGAGACGTTTCCATCCAACATGTTTCTGCCAATCAACGCTTCATCAGGATGGATTCAGGTTCTGATGGTACTGACCCGATTCAGAGGAGGAACCACGGCTCCAGTCATCAGAAACAACCAAAACGGTTCTAGAACCCCTGCGTTATAGATTCTGAAAGGCTTCGCATCAAAAAAATACTGCTCCTCTCCCAAATTGTAGCTGAA